GTTCTTGCGCGCCTTGAGAGCCTGTCAAAGGCGTTTCCGGATGACATGGAGTATGCGGTTCCTTTCAACACGACCGACTTTGTTCAGGCGTCGCTTGATGACGTGATCGCCACGTTGTTCCTCACGTTTCTGCTCGTCGTTTCGGTGGTCTTCATCTTTCTCGGCAACTGGCGAGCGACGATCATTCCAACGGTTGCAATTCCCGTATCGCTGATCGGGACGTTTGCGGTTCTGCTTGCTCTTGGGATGTCCTTGAACACGATTTCGCTGTTCGCCCTCGTTCTGGCAATCGGTATCGTGGTTGATGACGCGATCGTGGTCGTTGAGAACGTTGAACGCATCAGTGCGGAGGAGGGACTTTCTCCAAAGGATGCGACAGCAAAGGCGATGGAGCAGATCACCAGCCCGGTTATCGCAACCACCCTGGTTCTGCTGGCTGTGTTCGTGCCCACGATCTTCATGCCTGGTATAACCGGCAGGCTCTATTCGCAATTCGCGGTCACGATTTCCGTATCCGTGGTGATCTCTTCCATCAACGCGCTTACCCTTTCACCTGCGCTGTGCGGACTTATCCTGAAGGCCCGTTCGGGGCCGCCGCGCGGCATCATGGGATTGTTCGATCGCGGCATAACCGGTATTCGCGACGGCTACACAGCGATCATCCGGCGTCTAGTGCGGGTTGCGTTCGTTGCCATCATCATTGTCGGCGGGGCCATCGCCGTGATCGTGACGCTTGGCGGTACGCTCCCTCAGGGTTTTCTCCCGTCCGAGGACCAGGGCTATCTCATGGTTGATGTCCAACTGCCGGACGGGGCCGCGCTCGAACGCACCGAGGGGGTAACGAAACGCGTTGTCGAATTGACGCAAAAGACGCCGGGCGTCGAGAATGTTGTGATCGTGAACGGGTTCTCGATCCTCAACGGCGCGACGTCCTCCAACGCCGCCCTGGTGATCGCCACCATGAGCAACTGGGAGGACAGGCAGGAACCGAATCTGAAAATCAACGCGATTCTGGCTAATTTCTGGGCCGAGTTCTCGACCATTCCCGGTGCCAACATCATCGCATTCAATCCGCCGCCGATCCCGGGTCTCGGGACAACCGGTGGTGTTCAGATGATGCTTCAGCAGACAGGTGGCGGAACGCCTCAGGAACTTGCGTCAGCTGTCGGGTCAATGGTCTATTCAGCCAACCAGAGCGCGGAAATCGCGCGGGCCTATTCCACTTTCAGGGCGAATGTTCCGCAGGTCTTTGTCGATCTGGATCGGGAAAAGACCAAAACGCTCGGCGTCAACGTGGCGGATGTATTCACAACACTCCAGGCCTATCTCGGATCCTACTACATCAACGATTTCAACATATTCGGCCGTGTGTACAAGGTCATGATCCAGGCCGAGGGCCAGTACCGCGACAAGATCGAGGACATCGGCCGGTTATATGTACGCTCGACGGATGGAACGATGGTGCCGCTGCGCAGTGTGCTGACGACGGAAAACGTTCTCGGTCCGCAGATCCTTACGCGCTACAACATGTTCCGCGCAGCTGCCGTGATGGCGGATCCTGCGCCCGGGGCGTCGACGGGTGTTGTTATCAACGAGGTTGAAGGCGCGGCGCAGGAAGCCCTGCCGCCGGGTTATTCTTATGAATGGACCGGAACAGCACAGCAGCAGCTCGGGTCCGGCAACATCGTCATGTTTATCCTGATGTTGTCGATCCTGTTCACCTATCTGTTCCTTGTCGCCCAGTATGAAAGCTGGACGATGCCGGTTGCTATCCTGATGTCGGTGTCCTTTGCGATCATGGGGGCGCTTGTGGCCGTGTTCGTGACCGGCGGGGACGTCAATCTCTACACGCAGATCGGGATGATCATGCTCGTCGGCATGGGGGCGAAGAACGCCATCCTGATTGTTGAATTTGCGATGGAGCAGCGCGACAGCGGAAAATCCATCACCGAGGCGGCGACAGAAGCGGCACATCTTCGTTTCCGTGCCGTCATGATGACAGCGCTGTCGTTCCTGCTCGGTGTCGTGCCTTTGATGACGGCCTCGAGCGCGGGCGCTGCCAGCCAGAAGGCGATCGGCTTTGCGGTCTTCGGCGGCATGTTGTTTGCGACCGTGATCGGCGTGCTGATGATCCCGATCCTCTATGTCTGCCTGCAGTATCTGCGCGAAAAGGTGAAGAGCATGTTCGGCGGGGAAGAGAAGGTAACCCAAAGCGCTCCGGCGACTTAGTCCGGATCGGACAATTTTGGGTCAATTCACCGGGCGGAACAGTGTTCCGCCCGGTGTGTTTCATCTTAAGGCACTGAATTTTTGTAGCAGTACCGGCTGGCTGGAAATTGCATCGCCGCAGGCCAGTGTGCGGTCCACACGGGTCAATCGACGGATTCGAAAACCGTTTTGATGGCCTGGAAAATCGTATGGTAGAGGCCGACCTCGTCTTTCGCGAAATCGCCGTGAGGCACCGCCTTCTTGGCCTCGTTGAGCAAATCCGCCTTGATGGCATCAAGATCCACGATGTTGCCGTCAGCGTGCTTTTCAAGCTCAACGTAGAGCCGCTTGGCGATTCCAGCATAAGCAACGATTGCGGTGACCATGTGCGTCGGCTCGTCCGGTATCTGGATTTTCATCCGTGCCGCTTCCCTCGTTAAAAACAGTTCCATTTCCGATCAGATATAGTGGTTTCCTGAAAAGCAGGCATGAAAATCTGAAAGTCCTTGAGTTGGAGAACATCACAATCCTGTTTGCCGAAGGTTCGAATTGAACCACTTCCCCGATTGTCCGAAATCATGAGTTTGCTCTGTTTGCGGCCTGACAGGATCGCATCCCGGTGATGTTCGCTCTTTTGTCTCATAGTTCATTCCCGACAAGTGGAAATGAGCCAAAGCCTTGTACCTGGGCAATCAGCTTGTCTGGACACTTGGTGTTGGCGGGGAGCACAAGGGCGGAGTGAGTTTGTTCGGAAGGTGGACCGTGCTGACAAGCCTCTGGTGACGACCTCGAGCGGTGAATTTGTTTTCTTATTTCAGTGCGATTGGGCGGATCCTTCGGAAGGGCTATGGCGCAAGGTCAGACGTGAAAAGGAGAAAGTAGCGGTGACCCCAGCCAACGAAGGACGGAAGATTTGCGGATCGACGCGGTGGAGGTTAGGGCGAAAACTGTCATGACATTCAGTTCGCGCCGGCAGCAATACCCAGTCTTTGTCACCATAGAGAGTATTGCTTAGTCGTCTGTCTCAAATCGCATTCGATCGGCAACCCAGGGAATGACAATGGCTTCCAGTCGTTCACCAATGAATTGCCGGTGATCACCCGCGTAGATGTCCAGAAGATGGGGAATGCGTTCATCCCCAAGCCGTTGCGAGAATTCCAGTGTTCCTGTCGGGATGTGCAAAAACTGATCACCAAGACCGACGTCCAGTGCCAAACCGTGCAAGCTCCGGAGGTTCTTGCGGGCATGGCGCACCTGCCGTACTGGCAAAGCATCTAGGTATTTGTCGAATTGAACATCGTCGATGACGATCTCTCCCCGCACAACATCGAATGGAAATTTTCCATAGACGGGCGCAGCATCAACATCGGGACTGAATGCTGCCAATAGGCCCAACGCTGCAATCGGATAAAAGTCGCGACTATCAATCAGTTGTTGCAGATCTTCTGGTCCCTTGATCTTCGCGGCCCGCTGCCACGCATCGTTTCCGAAGCTCAAGTCATCAACGGCGGCAAGGCAACACGGGCTGAGCGCCCAGACCACTGAAAAAATTCCGGGCCTGTTCATGGCCAGATTGAGTGCTCCATAGCCTCCCATCGAGTGACCGACCACGGCGCGGCTTTCCTGATCCGACAGCGTGCGATAATTCTCATCGATGAAAGAGACGAGGTCATCGGCAATGTAATCTGCCCAATTGCCGCTCACCGGAGAATTGCGGTAGAATCCGCCTCCATACTTGTTGCCGCCATTCGGCATGACCACAATCAGTTCAGGTATTTTTCCATCCGCAATCAATCGGTCGAGAATTTCCGGCACATTGAAGTTTTCAACCCAAACGCCATGATCATCGAATATGCCATGGAGAAGATAGATAGTGGGGAAGCGGCGATCCCGGTCTTCGTCATAGCCGGGCGGAAGGTAGACGGCGGCCTCCTGGACAACAGAGCTGTCAAGAAGATTGCCATCGAGTGCTGGCGCCGGGACATCGATCTCAACCACATTTCCGGTTGTGGTTCCATCTGATTGGGCAGTTGCGACCGAAATGGACATTACAGCAACCGCGATCAAGGTGCCAAGAATTGACTTTCGCATCGAAATCTCCAAAAGGGTGAGCCCTTTTACATCTATGCCCGGGTTGCATAAGTACAAGCGTATTCCTCTCCTCTTTCGTCTTTAAGTCTGCGTGGGAGATCAATTTCCAGGCTCACGTCTTGAATAATACAACCTGCCTTCACAGGCCCGCTACGGTCATTCGCTGCAAGACACTCAAAGGGGGTTTCTTGGCAGAAGACACGATTTGCGGAGACAGGGGCCTTTTCAGTTCAGGTTTAGGGACAGCATCTAGCCAAACACAAAGCGGTGGACTGAGCGTTTTGAGCCGCCAGAACAGTCCCGAGTGCAGTGCCTGAAGTCGGCTGAAGTCCCGAAGTCTGCCCTGAAATCCCAAATTCGAGCGACATGCCGGAGCGAGCCGGAATATCCCACGCGGTTGACAACGCTGTGGTCATCAAGGGCGGATCCACCGAGAACATCAAGATCGGCTCTGGCCGGATGTCCGAACACTTCGCCGAGGGCAAGTTTTCGCGGTAGGCGCTGGTCGATATGGACGCGGTTCAAAGATCATCATGCGATCGCGCAAGAGCAGTTGCGCCGGCTCTCAGAATCCGTCCAGATGTTCGGCATTGGCCTGAAGACCTGGCACTGAGCGGCTTTGCGGCCTAACTGATCTGAACCCGAAAAGTCGCATGAGTCCGGACCAAGAACGGGGTGAATGCAAATGATAAACCTAGAGCGAAACAAAATTTCACACGTGTGAGTAGTGAAACCATTCAGGATTCACACGGCCTAATCCGGTTTTCTTGAGGCAACATGGTACTAGGTTGAATCTTATGTGGAATTTTTGGTGAGCCGACAGGGGCTCGAACCCTGGACCTACTGATTAAAAGTCAGTTGCTCTACCAGCTGAGCTATCGGCTCTCACCAAATTCCGGTGCAGTCGAGCGCTTTGTGTGTTGCGCCGCCGCGTTGGTGGCGTGTGTTTATGCCGACATAGGGGACATTGCAAGAGGCAAATTTCATTTTTTCAACAGCATGGCGGATAACTGGCAGGTTTGAGCATTCGACTTGATTTGACAACGGTAAATTTGGCTAGATAAATGTTCTCATGAGTATAAATAATGATTTATGAATACCGATTGGTAGTATAATTTACAGTCAGTTCACTCTATTCTATGAATCTTTGTTCAGTATGTTCGTTATTAAGAAAATAAAGATCATTCTCCTGCAAAAACTGTCAGGTAGCGCAATATAGTTTTGTGATGTACCTTCACCAGTAACCAGAGAGGTTACATGCACTCGACACCCATAGACACACACACGAACTCGGTCGAGTTCGATTTCGTCAAGGGCCACATAGCGGCAACGATGACGCTGATTCACGGACTTATCGATCAAGGTGTGATTGACCGCGAACAGCTTGATGCATTCTTTGCGGCCTTTATCGGTGAACTTCCCCACAATCGCGAAACACTCGGTCTGCGGTTGATCCTGGATCAGTGGCGCCAGGGCCTTCGGGACGGGGATTGCGATGAAGAGCTGAAAGGCATGCTTTTCGAGGTTATCCGGGGAGGCAGATCAAACTGAATTTCCAAATGTGTTCGGCCATGGGTTGGGGGCCGGAGCATTTGACCAGGGTGATGAAACTGTCCGGGGCGCTCAGGCGCCTTTTTTGATTCTGTTGAAGTCCTGTCCCTGCAATGCAGCCAGTTCCCGTGAAGCCTGCTGGTCAATGTCCGGCAGCTTTGTTATGCGTAACAACAGTCAAGCCGTCCGGTGTTGGCCTTGTGATCAGGTGTCGTACCTCATGCGTCTGTCGAAATTCACAAACAAGCTGCTCTCCGCGTTGAGTTGCGATCAGCTTTCCAGTTTGATCCGCCGCCGGTTTCTGGCAAGTGTGAGCGCAGTGTTCGTATTCTTCCAGTTCGGGTTCGGCTACGCAGACGAACAACAGTTCGTAACGATTGGAACCGCCGGCGTGACCGGTGTCTATTATCCATCGGGAATTGCGGCCTGCAAGATCGTCAACGAGAGCAGAGCTGAGCACGGTGTGCGCTGCTCCGTAGAATCTTCACTCGGTTCCATTTCGAACATCAGGCAGATCAGGTCCGGTGAACTCGATTTCGGTTTTGCCCAGTCGGACTGGCAGCATCATGCCTTTCTCGGAACGTCGGTGTTCGATGACGCCGGAGCCTTTGAAGATCTCAGAACGGTCTTTTCTCTCCATGCTGAGGTCGCAACCATTGTAGTCAAGGCCGGATCCGCCTTTCGCTCCTTTGAGGACCTGAAAGGCGCCAAGATCAGTACCGGCAGCAAGGGGTCCGGGTCGGCAGCTTCCTGGAATGCCCTGGTCGGTCAACTGGCCTGGACGGAGGCGGATCGGGAAAACTTTACAAACCGCAGCAGTTCCGAACTCGCAGAAGCCCTGTGCGGCGACCAGATCGACGCCTATTTTGCGTTGATCGGCCATCCTGCCGCCCTGATCGAGGAGACGCAGGATCTGTGCGATATCCGCCTGATCGGTATTGAAAGTGACGACGTCAATGCCTTTGTCGAAGAGGAACCCTACTACATGGCGGCGACCATACCCGCGGGTCTTTATCGTCTCACCGAACCTGTGGGATCATTCGGGGTGGTTGCCACCGTGGTGACCTCGGTCGAAATGCCGGACGAGATCGTTGCGACACTCGTCGCGGCCGTCCATGACAATTTCGAAAACTTTTCAACGCTGCATCCGGCGTTGAACCGCCTGACCCGTGAAGACATGGTCGCGTTCGAGGCTGCCGCGCCGCTTCATCCTGGCGCATTGAAGTATTTTCAAAGTCAGGGTTTGTTGCCGGCTGATTGATTGCATCTGCCGGTTCACGGTTTTCATATCGATCTGCTCTCCAAAAGGTGAGCGGATTTTGTCTTTGTGATCGTGCGTGTTGGAGCTAAATCAATGCATCTGAAGCTGACCGGTCTAT